AGGAGCAGGGTGTGCGCCAAGGGTAGACAACCGGCGCGAGACCAGGACTCATTCTGTGTCGTTTCTGGCGCCGGTGGTGATGGTCTGAACCTTGTTTTTGCAGATGCTCTTGAGCCGCCATATGTGCACAGAACACTCATCCTTTGCCTTAAGGTGCCATTTGCAATGGTGAGTACCGCAAGGCTTGTCACTGATGGCTTTCTTGCAAGAGTTTGCTCCGAATCCGCGGACACTATGCATGACATACAGGTTGGAGAGCACAACGACAAGCCAATGCCCGACGGCAGCAATGTAGTGTGCAGAGATATGCGCAGATGGGGGGCTTCATTTGCGTTCGTATTGCGTCTGTTTGCGTGAGGTGCCAGTACACTAACTAGGGCTTGCGAGAATCGAACCCTTTCCTGCTTGCATCTGTGTCTGTCGGTCCGAGTGGCGTGGGTTTATCTCTTTCGGTGGTACAGCCAGCTGCCACGCTTAGGTTTGCACTTGGTCCCGGAGCCAAGGTACAAGAAAATCGGCGGCAACGCCATTATCTACTTCGACGAGTCGAAGCTTGTCTGCCCTTAGAGCTTCGACACAGCATTCCGGAGTTGCAGTACTTTTGGGACTTAAGCAACATGTGGTCAAGTTCTTGAATTGCAGCTTCACTCAGCCGTTAGTCAAGGTGGAAGATCAATGCCTGCATCGACACTGGCGGTTGGTACTACTTTGCTCCGGATTCGGCTTCTGCCACACCTCCTGAAGGCCCAAGATTTCCATGCGCATGGACCCCGATGTCATCCAACTTGCACCCGTGGATTGCATGCCCCACGCTGACTTGGTGACTGTCATTAACGTCCAGCATCCCGGCAAGGCCAGTGGACGACCGATCCGTCCATGAAGGATGCGAACCCACCACCTCTAATCTCTACTCGCAAGGCCGATCGCGCCTGCATGAATGTGGTGCTCTGGCAAGGGCCAGTACTCAGCGGCAGACTTCTGCCATGAAAGGCGGCGACCAAAAGTGCCAGTTTCCTCGACCTGTTGAAGCATCGCTTAGGCAGGATGGGGGATCGGCTTGCTACTGTAGGGAGTCATGTTGTGAGGCAAGCGCTGAGGGCTGTTGTGGACCGAGCGCAGCCGTGCGCAAAGTGGAGCGAGGCATGGGCAACATGGAGACGGAAAAGCCATCCGCAATTGCCACTCGGTCCCAAAGTGAGACCAAGGCATGCTAAAGCTTTCCTTCTTCCCACTTGTTTTGCCGGAGACATTGCAAGGAGGGTGCTCCTGAGCCCTCTGCGACCGCTGAAGCCTCCACGGCAACCTCAGCTGCTTTGGAGACCCAGGAGCCGCACTGCCATCTCTCTTGGACACGGCCGTAACCGTCCGGCATTGGCGCGCCCCGAATCGGGATGAATACATAAAGCTTGCCAATCGCCTGAGCTATTTCATCTTTGCTGCGTGCTCCCTTCCTTGGAGGACGGCAGCATCCAGGGAGGGCGCCGCCTGGGAGACGAGAGAGACACCACAGAGGCCAAGCGCTTCGGATTGAAGACTCGTGCACATGGTCGGGTTCTGCGGATTTCCTTCTGTGGGCTGCAAGGAAGGTTCCTTAAGACTTGCGGTGCCTTCAATGCTGTAGTGACTGTAGTGGTTGCTGGGACGACGCGTCCTTGGCCTCAAAGTCCCTCTGAGAGTGTGGTTAAGGAATGTTAAGGATCTGGTCACTGCCATCGGGTTGGGGATGTTTGGAGTGTCGGGATGCTTGAGCGTGGAATGCGCAAGGCAACCAGCGAAAGGGAAACGTCAAGCCACGCCCCGAGCATTATGAGCTGCATGGAGCATCGTGCAGCTGCAGGCTAAGTTCAGGTTGTGACGTTAGGCCGCCGGTACATGCCAGGCTTCAGCGATGCAGCCCGTGCACATGCAGAGCTCAAGCGAAAGCTTCCAAGGCGGCCAAACCATCTGGCAACAAAGCGAATCGACCGATCATCGTTTGTGAAGGCAGAAGTCAAAGCGCCGCATCGCCTGGCGATTGAAAACGAAGGACGCTGGAAGTCTGAGAGGCAGCAAATAGAGGCGGAGGCTCACAGTTCGAACTGTGTAGTGAACTGCAAGGTGGGCTACAAAAGCAGCACTTCCGCAGGTACACAGACTGAAACTGACAGAATGAACAAACTCTATCAGATGTACGCAAGTTACATCCCTACCTGCACAACTCTGGGATCCGATCTTCCTTTCGTAGTTTCGTAGGAGCAGCTCGTGTTCCCTTCTTCCCCTTCCTGTAATTTTGCTGCGAGGAGGAATACGAGCGCGACGAGCATAAGAAAGAGCCGATTCCAAAGAAGTACTTCAACTTCTGCTCGTCCGGGGCTCGTCCGGCCGGGTTCAGTTCAGTTGCCGTGTAGGCTCGTCTGCGTGCTAAATCTTTCTCGGGCCTTCCAGGCTTGAAGAGATGGTGAACATGGTGCCCTTCCGCAGCAATTTGGCCCGCCGCACCTTGAAGGAGGACAAAATGCGGTCGAAGGATGTTGTAATTCAGTTGACAACAGAGGCATTCTGCATTCGACGGGTTGACTTTGCTGAGGGGTGGGTTTGCAATTGCCTTCTCAAGCTCCAGCAGGAGCAAGATCGGCGGCTGTCATTCCTCCAGTTTCTCACAGGCACCTTCTGACGCAAGTTCAACCGCTTGAAGCAAGCTTCCGCTTCGGGCTACCACGACCCCGCCCAGCCCGGCAGGCCTTCTGCAGCTGAACCCTGACAATCGCTGGACACCGATGCAGGCACCATGACCGACAGCTTTTATGCATGGCCTTGTACGGTTCACAGCATGTTCACAGCTGTTCAGAGGCTTCTGGACATCCCTTCATCATGGGCTTTCACTACGACGCCGAATGGCGACCAGCTCCGGACCATCCTGTGCCCTCCTTTAAGCAGGTATCGGCCTAAGAGCGCTGGGCTCCAAGAGGCAAAGCAACGCTCGGAGCGACTCACCAAGGCGGTGCCACCCAGCTCCGTTCTCAGAGCGTGGAGCGAGAGCTCTCCTGGGAACCAAATTAAATTCTCAGTCGTAGATGGAAGCAATGCAGCTGTTCCGAGGTCGGCTGGAGGCCCCGGCGCCCTGCCCTCAGCTTTCGCAGCTACAGCTGGCGAGTTGCGTTCTTTCCCGAGAGTCTTCATCTCATGTTGCGTGGGCCTTCCAGGTCAGGAGTGGTTCCTCTGCTGCCATCTGCGAAGCTGAGACCTGTTCCAGGAACTGGTGAGGCTGGAAAGCAGTCCAACAACGAACACTCCAACCCGGCAGGTAGTCTTTTCTGCATCATGTTGTGAACTTGTGGTGGCATGCTTCTGCAGTTATGCATGAGATTACTGCAGCCTTTGCGGGTTTTTGCGACTAGCCTGTCACTTCTCAATTGGGGGTGTGACTTGGGGGCCTTTCAACGCGACATTGGCGACAGCACGATGCTTACTTCCACCCCAAAAATTTTCAAAAGGGCACACGACATGTGCAACGGCCATGGCAAGTGATGTTGCAGAATGGTCTGGATGTAGATGTAGCCTAGATACTTCCGCATGAAACCATGCAGGAGGGCACCGGAGGTGGCTCAGCACGCGCCTGGGACGAGAAGAAGATGGGCCCAGGCAGTGAAACGCGGAGCTTCGTGGAATTTCTGCCACAAGCTGCCACAGAGGCCTGGAAGGGGAACACACTCGGAGCGCTCCTGCGACCACACGGGACAGTGGCCGCTCGGTGACCAGTTGCACAGACATCGGCTGTAGCTGCAGCTGTGCTGCAGTTGAGACTTCTGCACGCTCCGAGGCCAAAGCAAGAGCGCCGAACTGACAGGACGAGCAGAAATGCGGAATGGTCAGCTTTCGAGCAGGGGTGCTACAACACTCTACTTTCTTTTAGTCCTCGTGAACGCCCGTCTGAGCGGCAGTGCTGATGGGAGGAGCCGGCTCGGTCTGCCACCCAGACTGTCAGACCTGTCTGCAGTTGCTGATGCCGCATTGAGACAGTAGACATTGGCTCTGACAACTGCAGACATGGCGTTTGCAAGCTAGTGTTGTGCACGGGTTGCTTCAGTCGGCGTGGCAAGATGACATGAGTCCATGCCCCTCGAAACCATCTGCCGTAACCCCAGCTCTTAACTTCTGCCTTGAATCGTGATGACGCGGCAGTTGCTGGATCCGAGGACGAGAAGGTTCCACAGGCAGCTTTGCGTGGACTCTGGGGCCATCTCTGCATGGGCCTGGACCTTGTCGAGAGCTTCGTTCGGTTTTCTGTGATGCAGACGAGATGTCAGACAGCTTTGAAGACAGATTGTTCTGTCTTGGCTGGCTGTCAACTATGCCGTGGGAGAGGGGCATTTCGCGCTGTCAGGTATCCCGCTGCCAGATGACAATCCGGTTGGCTGCCTAGCTCCTGCAGCGGCTTGCCGACGGCGCTGTTGCTACAGAGTGCCGCCGTTTTCTGTGCAGTGACGCAATAGTGCCGGGAAGCTGGCAGTTTGAAAGTACCTTGCCTGGTATTGAGTCGGAAAGGCGGAGAGCTATCGTCCACCAATCGACAAGATGTCCGAGCGATTCTTCAGCTCCTTCATGGAGGCCGCTCCAGGATCTGCCAGGACTTGGGGCGAGCGTTCAAGGCTTTGGGGACTTAGACAGTAGGGGGAGGAAGCTTAGCTTTGAGTTTTGCGTGGGGACAGGAGTTTTGCGTGGGGACGGAAGGGGAAGAGTGTCAAGAACAGGTGGCGACGGGGCTGCACGCTGAATGATACGATTGTTTTTTTTCTTCAGTGCAAGGGTGGGGGACAGGGGGATAGGGGTGCTGGCGTCCACGTCAGTGCGATTAGGTATGCAGTATACTCTAGCAGCAGGTGGAGGCAAAAGCCGTAGAAGTCAGGACTTTTTCTCTACCTGCTGGTAGAGGCCAAAACTGGAGCACCGTCTGCTGTTTTGACTCCCCCCTCCCTTACAACAACCGCCCACGTTACACCACGTTTCCGCCGCAGGTATGGGAATCTGCGAAATGTAGAAGAAGGGCGTTCATGGGCTTTGGAAGGTCAATGGTAAAGTTGTCTTGGGATTAAGGCGTTTCATTGGGGTGAAAGGGTTTGTCTGGAATTTTCGAGGGCTCTCATTCGATATCGAACGGTTCAAAAAGGATTTCGAACGATTTTATGTGATGTTGAAGGGCTCAGTGGGATGTTGAATGGCGTTAACATGCTTTCGAAGGGGTTCAATTGGATTTTGAAGGTGGGGGTTGCAAGGGTTTTGATGGTGTTTAGCATGGTCACAAAGGGTTTTTTGTGGTACTTGGAAGGGGGTCTAGGGAAAGATCTCCATGCTGTGCAGAGCGTGGGGGCTTAGGCGCTGCAGCCCAGAGCTGAAGCCCAAACCAAAACCCCAAAATCTCAAAACCAGAGGTCCGAACAAAAACTGCGGCCCCTTCAAGACATGACTTTGCTTTTGGTATGTGCAGGTTGTTGTTGTTGTTGGTGGTGGTGGTGTTGTTGTTGGTGGTGTTGTTGTTGTTGGTGGTGGTGCTGCGGTGTCAGGTTTTGTGGAGGCGGGAGTGGTGGTTGTTGCGGCTGATGCAGAAGAACGTTTGCATATCATATGATTGCATGGTGTGATGGTGATGACGACGCTGGCAGCACGACGACGACGACGACGACGACCACGACGCAGGGTCCCGCACCTCCCGGCTCCTTTCGGCAGGCGGAAGAGCGCAAGCGGCGCAGCTCAACGGAGACCAGTGAGGCCGATCACAGCTTCCCTCTGTCATCTTCTTTTGTTCACACCTTCACGGCCGTGGCCCATGAAATCCTGAGCAGAGGCCGCAGAGTTTGGTGGGGCGAGCCCGCCCAAGGCTGGTGATGCACCCCGTGACATGCGGAAAACACAATGCGCACATTCGAGGCAAGTGCCGGAGCTTCCTTCTGTTCTTCAGCCTCTTCTACAGGTCGGTGGCATCCTCAAACTTCTTCTGCTCATCATGTGTGCTGCAGGCTCCACCCCAACCGGCCGGCACGCAGCGCAGCGCACTGTGGCATCGCCCCTGCTGAAGGTTCGGAGGAGTTCAGGCTGTTCGCTAAAGCACTTGTAAACCACCTCAGCCATTTCCGCAGAACCTCCCCAGCGATCTGCGTCTTTCTGGGGCGCAGCGGCCGAACTTGGGAGGACGGTGCTGGGCAGTGGTGGAAAAGCTGTGAAGGCGTGTGGAGCTGAGCCGACAGGAACAGCTCCAACGACTTCGCCGCACGGCCCGGGCCCTGCGGAGCTGCGGAGCTCTTCAACGGAGACGAGGCCTGGCCGGGTTGTGGCCGCCAGGATCCTTGGCCTCGACAGCACCTGGGCCAAGCCACGGCTCAGGGCGACCGGCTTCCGGCCCACTGCGAGGTCCATAACACCGCTGCGAAGTCGCGCTTCCGTCTTGTCCTCTCGCAGCTCTCTGGTGAGGTGGCAGTGGTGCGAGTGTTGGGCTCGGGCCTGGTCGTGGAGGAAGCCGGGGTTCCTCGCCGCAGGGCCGCAGTGAGAAAGCTGGAGTGCTGCAGTTTGCTGCCTGTGGACTGTGGACTTGACGAGGCCCTGGCACTTGCCTTCCCCGATGTCGGAGCTCTCCACGGCTTCAGAGCGCCTCAACTCTTCACAGCCTTCGGGGAGCGACTCGTGTGGGGAGCCAGGGTGCGGGTGCCCAGCCTTGCTCTCGTGCATGTTCTGCAACCAGACGTATGATATGACTTCCATGTGAATGCGACAAAGGTCCGACGGGGCTTTTGCTTTCGAGGATCAGCGCCACTCCGAGTCGGAGGCAGTGCATCAGTAAAACTGCATGTTGACATACGCATGCATGCACCACATGCTGCATAGACATAGACCTACCCTCTCTGGCAAGTTCAGGAATCCAGTGCTGCCCTATGTAAGAAGGTTTTTTGCCTTGATCTGCTTCAGATGCAGCCTCTACTTATAATTGGGGTAGCTCCATTTAGGGTACTTAGAACTCAAGTCCCCTGGGCCTCTAAGTACTGTAGTAGCCTGATCCAAGATGTGTTCGGTTTGTCCGAGCTCTGAGCTCTGCCAGGGCTCACCTTTTCCCGGGCCATACGGTGCGGGACCGCAGGTTGAGGCGCTCTTCGCTGTTCACTCTCGGAGACTGCCTTCATGCTTATGGCCTGTTCAGAAAGGGGGAAACCGAAGTAATTCAACATAGCACAGCGCCGTGGTTGTAGTTCTCTTGAAGTATCTGCCAGAATGCAGTTTTTTGTTCGTGTCCCTGTGTCAGTTGCCTCAGGGCCGACCTCCCCACGATTTGCATCTGTGCACGAAATCCCGATTTGTTTGGATGGTTCGGAAAGGTATTTCTTCAGACAGGAAGCAGCACAGGCCGAAATAACCTTGGGGCAGCGCGTGCCAAACGACATCATGAACTGCAACAGGAAAATTCAGACCTGCCGCAGCGCCTTGTGAGCCTGGTCTCTCCCCCTCCCCCTCTCCCTCCCTCTCCCTCTCCCTCTC